CTACATTCGTTTATTCTAAGTAGCTCTAACTTTGTAACATACATGTACAGCTCACATTACGCTATCCATTACATCACTCAGGATTTTTTTATATATTTCCTTTTAGAAGTAAGGACTTAAAACTTGTATACTATTAAAATATGGATTATTATCTAAGATCTTATGCTATTCTAATTGGTATAACATAAACAAAAAGTAGTTTAATAAAATTTTGAATACAAAACACTAAAATCTTGTGTCATGCGCAGTAAAGGGTACCCGGGCTGATAGGGTTAATACAGGTGTGCTTGACATCCCTACTTAGTGCTAGTGCACTCTTTGATATTTAAAAAAAAATTAAAATTGAGGTTATTTTTGTAAACTTCAATTGTTATCATTTAGAAAACAATGAGGAAATAGTGGTTTACTTATTTTGAAATGAGTAGAATGTTTGATATATGTCAAAAAATTGTTGTGTATTAGAAATATTTGTTTTTTTCTGTGCAGGAGTTTGAGGATTATCGTGATGCTGATGATGCTGTTTATGAACTTAATGGAAAAGAACTGTTAGGGGAACGGTAAGTGTTAATATTAATATATATATATATATATGGGGCATGATTCTTCACTAACAAAGGGGTGTTTTATTATTGTTCATAAAGATTTTAATGCTAAAAAAATTTTGGTTTGTGGTTCTACCTCTTCTGTTGAATTTGTTTATTTAAAATTACTAATTTGTTAGCAACATGCAGGAGTATTAAAGTTAATTTCTTTCTTTATAAGGTATGCCAGGAGCTGGGTAAATACAAACTTGTTATTTAGTATGGGCAGGAAATTTCTAAAAAAAACAACATACACAGACTTTGTTTACCAGCAACCAAAGTTCAAGCATTTTCTTTGAAAAGTTATAAAATATCAGTTAGTGGATATTTTTTAGTTAAAAATCATTGAAGTAGAGTTAATATTACTAGTTTTATTTAAAGTGTAGAATTTGATATTCAAACTCTGGAAAACTGCCCATTGGTCCAGACAGGTGTAATTAGTCATGTAGGAGTTTTCCATGCTGTCTGTAAACTTTTGTAGTCCTCAAGTCTTACTCCCTGTAACTTTTTTTAATGTAATATAAACTAAAGTTATTTTCTGGCATGTATAACATATGTAACATTATTTAGATAACCAATCTTTTTTTTTCTTCTCTCTCTCTCTTTGTATTTAAGGTTCTTACTATAATTATATTGTTACAAAACAGAATAAGTCTAAGTCAGTTTAGTATGAGAATATTTTTAACATAGTTATGTCAAAACAGTTGGATATTAGTGTAATTTTTGTGTAATCCGTATCTTTATTCATAAGATAACCAGAAGCTGGAACAGTATAGTATTAGCTGATATTTGCTTTTATAGTGAAAATATTTTGGTAAAATGACAGTTTTCTGTACTCATTTCTTTAGCATTTTGATAATAAAGATATTTGGTTACACTTGAGTTTTTTTTTAATTTCTGAATCTTAATGCACATTGCTTGTCAGGAGGTTTTAGAGCAATACCACTTAATGTTTCAAACTGTCACACAGTGATGAACAATCTTTCGGGTCTTATACTAAAGTGAAGAAAACTTTCCCAATATGTTCTGAGTGTGAACAGTGTATTAAAGTTACAAAACAAATTGGACGTAGTAATATGGCATGAATTTTGAAAATTTTATTGTAATTGTATTATTTTTGCCAAGTTTATTTTACAGTGTAACCATATCTGGTAAAAACTTTTGTTTTATTAGTGTAATTGTGGAACGAGCCCGTGGTCCAGTTCGTAGGAATGCTTCGTATGGTGCTTCTGGTTCTCGGAGACGTTCTAACTGGACAGACAAGTAAGCATTGCTCTCTTTTATTGTTCTTTCAGAGTTTCTGTTGAAAAAGCCCGGGGTCAGCCTCGCGGAAGTGACCTCTGGTCCTCTAGAAGTCGGAGTAGGAGGGCACCTCCGCGCTGGCAGGCAGGACGAAACAAGTAAGAATTTGTGTATTGCACGATATTGCTTAAGCTAACAGATTAATAATAAACATGCATGTACGAAGAATAATGTTTGCTTTATTATATATACAAAAATTAAAATGTATTTATTGCAATTTAATATTTTTGACATGGTACAACAGCTTAGCCTTTATTTCTGCATGTGCAAATGATTAGTGTTATCCAGTTTCATGAGAGTTACACAATTAAACTTGTGTTTAGTATTATGACTACATTATTAATTTGCTGTATGAAGTCTTAGTTCATAGAAAATTATTATTCTTACTATATTTTGAATAGCAGTAACCCAATAATACTTATCAAACGTTAACATTCAAAAACTTGCAAGAAACTTATTGTAAAAAGGAAAACAAGTAATAATCCAAATGATAATGAATAAAAAAGAAATATGAGTAGAAGCAGTGTTCTTTTCAAAACTGGGACTGTACATTATCCTGAACTTAAGTGATGAAGATATAAGTGAGATCTTTGGAAACATGTTTTCTAAGAAAAAAAATTTTGTGGGAGTAGCCCTATTGCTATTACTTAAAAAGTAGAGCCGTGCAGTTGCATCCATTTTAATATATTATTATGACCTCTGTATCTGTTTTTCATGGTACTGTATATCCTGTTTTGTAAAATATTAACAGTTACTGATGTTATTCACCTGTATATTTTTATATGCTAATATCCTGCATTTTGATTGCTGGTATTTGAACCCTCAAGTTACTGACTTGTTTTTATATCTAGCTTTTGGTGTAGTCTACATATTACATTTTTGCCTGTCACAACACTCAATGTAAAAAATGTAGGAAAAATAGTTTGAAACCATTCATTTTCTTTGTATAGTGTATAGTCCACAAGGTACCCCCCAGCAGTAACTAGTAAGGCTAGTTGTATTTTAATTTACATTTGTTTGACTTGTTATTAAGGCCCATGTTTTATAAAAAGAAATATATAGTTAACTGCATAGGTGACAAAGATATCAAAATTAAAGAATAGTTTAACAATCACCCAATTAAGGCTCATGTAGCCAGCAAAATCATTGATTCACAAGCAAGTTGGCTGTAAATAGTTTTGAAAAATGATTAAAAGCTTGTGAGCCCTTATTGTCAGTGAATGAGATTCATTGGAGGATGTTTCATCTGGAATATAGTATTTGCAGTAGTGCTTCACATACAGGATTATGTTCTGTATTTTCCATTATTGCTTTCCTTTCATCTGGTTTTCCATTCCTTGTTGCTTCTGTGGAAAATCTCTGTGATTATCATTGTGCTTGTGGATCATGGTTAGATTTTATTTTATTCCCTGATTAATGGTGTGTGTATTATATGCTTTAAAAACCATACATTATTTAACAAAATCAAGGATTTGTCCCAAGATTCTGCCATGAAAAATTGCCCACGTTATCCCAATGAAAAAAGTCGACGTTATCTGGTATTACTTGTGAAAAAACAACTAAAAAGTTGCAATGATATCAAACAAAAAGAGTTAAACCAGTGTAACATATCATCTACTCTGTGTTATATATTCCTATATCCATTGCTTCTTTAATAAGGTGAGTGAAATGGTGATTTATTCACTAGGCAGTTTGTAAATTAAATTTCAATGTATCTTTTAATACTTTTTATATTTTGGAATTATTATTTTTACTTCCACAGTCGTAGTTACAATCCAAGGTATGGCCCACCTACTAGAACAGAAAATCGTGTAATTGTTGAAAATCTCAGTAGCCGTGTAAGTTGGCAGGTAAGCATCCACTGCTTTAAGTGTTTTAGTGTAGGAAACATTAACTTCAACAGATAATTATGCACAATTCATATGATTGAATAATAAAAAAAACTTTCTAAGAAACGTTGCTCTCATAGCCATTTAAAATATTTATGATATCTTCTAGCAGTTCAATTTATTAAGTGCTTAATTAGAATAAAACTTTTTGACTGTCTTTAAATTAATGGATAAAAAAAAACCAAATTGAAAGTTTATTGGAGATTGTGCAGTACAATCAGTATTTGTGATTTTAAATATTGTTTTTATTTTTGCAACTTTTACAAGTTTATTCAGCTTGTGTTTGTTTCAGAATGAAGTGAGGTTACATGAAAACTAAAATCACAGTTTGCTCTAATGCATACATTCACTGTTAAATAATGCTATGATGAGCACATCTTTCGGGTCTGAAGTTTGTTGAAGAAAGATACATGCTGAGCATTATTTCTGACATAATTTCAGAATAAGAAATAGAACAAAAATGATAAATAGGTTTATGGATAATTCACCTGTTTCTGGCTTGAAAAAAAAGCATCTCCTCAAAATTTTGCCCCAAAAATAAAATATTCAAAGTTACTTACCTCACAGTCAAAAATACTTCCACAACACCCATGTTCTGCTGTTTTTCTTGGTAATGCTATGGGTAGGTCAAATTTGAGTGGAATGGATTGTTGATGTTATTCAACCTTTTTTCCTACTGCTCATTGCTCCACTTGAGCAGTCACACATGCATTTTTACCCAAATGTCAATTATATAAATTTACATAACAATCTGATGAATAGGATTGAAGCTAGCATTGTTTTCATGTGGGAGGATTGGGAACACGCATGTAAATGGTTACCGAATTGGCTATGTATATAACATTACGGTTTTCAGACAAAATACTAAAGGTTTAGAAATTGGTGACTTCTTTATCTTTATGTTGATCATATTTAAAAAGAAGTGTTATAATAACTGTCCTCTGCTGCTTGCTCTCAGATGATTAATTGAATTTGTTTATATGTATCCAAATCAACCAATCAGATGAGACCTTCATATTGCCAGTAATTTAGACCAGGCACTCTGTGATTTTAATCATTTATTTACACAAGCTGAGCTGCAGACTTGGAAGTACAACCTAGTATTTTTGTGACAAGATAAACTACAGAATGAATAAAGCAGTTTTATTTCCTCATGTTCTGGTAACTTTCTGCATGCCAGTTCCCATGTGGGAAATACAGAAGTTAGCTAACTGTAAGTGGTTTATATATCAATAGAGCATAGACTAAATTACTTTATAATTAGTGCATAACATTTTCTAAGTGTGTGTTGCTTTAACCCTATGGCTTCTGTCATCTAATATTCTCTCATCATATTTAGTTCGAAAAATAAAACTAGTGGATGATATTGCTTACAATTTCACAAGAACATTCCTAAAAGTATGTAGTTTCAGAAAAATAAAATATTTAAATTTTATTTTTTCTACTATTTCTAATAATAGGTTATTTTTTAAAATTATAATTAATAATTAAAAACGTTTTATATTTACACAATAAAAACTTTATTGAAGCCATAAGGCTTCCACTTTAAAATACAAATATTACTCTACACATACATGTTTCAGTGTGATCTATGTTGTCATCAGAGGTAACTTTTATACTTTCCCCTTGTTGCATTACTTCATTGTTATTTGCATATTTCCTTAGTGTAATAAAAAAAAACATTTAATATATCTCACTATATATCAATAAATTGACTTGCTGGTCCTTCATCTCTATTTAATACTTGTTTTTATTTTTTATATTTCATTAATTCTAATGTTTCTCTAATATTCAATGATATAAAGCTTGGAGGCTGAGCTAAAACTAAAGTGTTTTCCAATAGTAATGTATGTTGGGTAGTTTTTACATGTTCGGTTATAGTTGAAATTTCTATTTTATTATTTCTTATGTAACTTTTGTGTTCTTGCAATCTATATTTAAAATTTATTTTAGTTTGACTAAAAAGTTTTATATCATTAAATATTAGAGAAATATTTCTCTAATGCTTTGCACACGCGAATGATGCCTTCTTGTTTGTACATTTTCACAATTCAGGCAACAACAAGTTAAACTTATAAAAAATCATTAAAACTTTTAAATATGATTTTTTAAACACAGATAATACACAATTAACAAAAATATACAAGTAAGACCTTAATACAATTTAACTGTATTTCTAGCTATAGCATATTTACGTAAAAAAAAGTGTGTGCTATAGTTGATTAAGCAGACTACATAAATTAAGTTCTGATCATAACTTGGACCATTAAAGATTATTCTTAAATAATTAAAATGATAAGAATAACTAATCTCTATGTAAAAGAAAAATGCTTGGTAGCCATACTATTTCATGTTCTCACATTGGCAGGAAGAAAAGATTAATAAAAGTAGTTTTAATGAATATGTGAAATCTTTCTTGTATATTAAATTAATTTTTTAATTACAGGGTATTAAAGAATTAATTGGGGATTAAACTAACTTTCAATAACTACAGTTTTTTAACATTAAATATGGTTCTGTAATATTGTTAAAACAAAAGCATTTACAAGACAACAGTGATTTTTGTTAACATGATAAACAACATTTTTATACCTCATTCTGTGCATATTAAGTTGCCTTCAGAATTTAATTAAACCACTTTACTAAAAATATATTTTAATGAAGTTACTATTATCAAGTACTTTATAATTTAAACTTTTAATCCTTTATTTTAAAAAGAAATATCTAAAACAGCAATCAAAACTACAGTTTTTGCTGTCACATGATCTGCTTGCAGTTACAATTCTCGACTTTTAAAGAGCTCTTATACAAGAAACTTTGAGTAGCTAATATAGACTGTGGACTCAGATGGTCAAAGTACACTTGCAGATGTATTTCATTACCATCTGGAAACCTTCCACAAATTTTTCCTAGTGTGAAACATTCTAAATATTTCTAAGTTTAATGTCAGCCGATTCTGTGTTCCTAAGCGACAGTTTGAAGTAGAATGGCATGCTTATAACCTATGGAAAGAGCAGATTACCTATTATTTAGTTAATAGCCTGAAGAAACCTTTACCAGTGTATGGATTTGTATTGTGAGAGAGAAAAGAAGTTTAGTCCATTGTTCTCTCAAGGGGTATATAGTACTTGGGAAGTTTCTCACCTTATATGTATTAGTTTGCTAGACAGGTAGCTTGCATTTAGGGTTTACGTTTATCTTAATTAATAATGCATTATTTGTTTTTTGAAATGCATATTTGAAAGTTTTATGATTTTTATATGTTTAACTTGTAGCTTGGTTTGTGAAAATGTCCAAGCAAGATGGTGTCATTTGCATTAGTGAAAGTCTACATGAGTGTCATGCTATCATAACAATAAAGCACAGCAGAAACGTATTGGTAGACTGGCATCAAGAATAAAAGACAATGAATTGGAAAATTAAAAATAAACTAAGTGATGCAATAAAGTCATGAAATTATGCATATTTAAAAAACATTTTTCAAAAGACTTCCACAAAGAGCCAAAGGGTATGTACATATTTCTATTTCTTAATTTTAAGAATTTCAATTGCACTGTATGTTGATGATAATAAATAGTTATTGATGTAGTAGAGAAAATAGAAAGTAAAATATAAATATTTACCTTAAAAACGTTTGATATTCATTTAGAAGGTTCTAACGATTATGTAAACTGTAAGATAAGAAATAGTATTTTTATACTTAAAAAAATGAAATCTCATTGCATGTAAACTATTCGGAGCCTGAGTGAGAATAACTACATTAAATAACGAATGTTTTATTATAAATAGTATTAAATATCTTATTTTTTGAAACTACAAGATTTTAGGACCATTCTTGTCAAATTTTAAACAATTTCATCCACTAGTTTCAATTTTGAAAAGAACTTTCATGAGTTGTGTATCTACTTACAATGTGGGTAGGTCATTGTCATAGGGTTAAAAAAAATGGCTAAAATGTTTTTTTGCATAACACGCTTCGATTGGGCTAAGTTACCCTTAGTTTATATAGAATATTTATTAATAGTGGTATGAAAAGATGTGTAAGTAGTTTTGATGCAAAGATATTATAATTTATTTAGCATTATTAAAGACCTCAATCATGGGTACATTTAAATATGTTAAAAGGAAGTTGTCTGAAACTGCAGAGGCTTTGAAAAATGTCGGATATTATGAATATGGTATCTTTCCTTTCATTTCTTATAAATGAAAATTTTATGTCAAACTGTTGATTTCAAACTTTAGTGTCACTGGGGGTTGTGATGGGATGGGGGATAATGCTTTTTACATGATTTCTAGCTTTTGTAAAGAAAGTGCCATTTATACTATTTCAGTCCAGTACATGATAACATGTTCTCTGTTTAGATATTGTGTATAACTACCACACCAGTACATGATAACATGTTCTCTGTTTGGATATTGTGTATAACTACCACAATGTTTGACCAGTCAGAAAATAGTTAATACATCTTCCTTATATTACAAAATGGCTTGTTAATAATGTGAATGTTTCACATGAAAAATTTGTTTAATTGTAAGATGGAATTTATTTGACAAGTGGCAAAAGCCGCTGATTGGCATCATGAAGCAAGGGCTAAAGAAGTTGATAGTTTGTTTAAAGACGAAATCAGGTGGGACAGGAAGTAGAAATTACATTTATTGCTGAGACTAAACAATAAATTGGTGAAGTCAGCATGGGGGGATTTAAAAAAAGGTTGATTTAGAGGAAAACCTTTAGGTCCGATATGCAACAAACAAACTGTTTCAAGAGGGTAGCTGTACACACATACATATATATATAGGTGTCAGATGAGGGGTGATTAATTGACTGTAAAATTTAAGGGCATCATACTTGAGAAATATATGGAAAGGAAAGAAACAGGGAAATGTATCAGAGATTCTATCTGGGGGTATCAAGTCCCCTAGACCCCCCCCCCCCCCCAAACTATATATATATATATATTATTTTTTTGCTTTCCCTATTCTCATTCCTGTTTATTGCAGCAGATCAAATATTTCTAGATCATGTAAGAATTGCTTTATTAAAAGATCGCCTTATTGAATTGATTTTGTGTTGTGTTTAGTGCAGATGTTGCATGTTTTGCTGTTATTTAGTTATATGTTAAATAATATCATTCCTCATCCTGTATATGTTTGTGTGTGTTTTCATAATTTTGACATAAATGTGCTAAAATAGCTGTTAATTTCAAGTTATTGGGGTGCTTTAATGATGTAGTAAAGTAGGATATATAATTTTAACACATTGAAGAAAGTATTGTATATTAGGCAAAATTATAGCAACTGGTAAATTTTATGCAATTGATTAAAAAGAAAATAGTTAAGATAAACCTTGTGGTTTCCTGGATCTCCCTAGATGTATGTGAGGGTCAGTGGGCATTTGTTGTCTAAGCTGGTGTAGCCGCCCGTCGAAGGGTCATATAACAGGTTCAGAACACCTTCCTAAAGCTTGAGATCTGGTTCCATATTCTAAGAAGTTGGTGTGTCTGTCTAGCCGGGAGGTCTGTCACTGCTAGGTTGTGACTCCCTGGTTGTCAAACACAGTCAGCCTGTCTGATCTGTACTCTGGTGTGGTAGCCTCTTTTTCCTAGGGATCATTTTCTGGCTAGCAAGGTAACTTTCTGTCCCTTGTTTGAAGAAGCTAACTCAAGGTAATAATTTATTATTTATTTTAAACTCGCAAGATATGACAATCGCCTAAAACATAAGCTTAACTCAGTTGTACACATCCTTTCTTAAAAGTCCAGTTCGGCAAAAAAAGTGTTCATACTGAATCCCTTTTTTAATAATAAAAACAAATTGCATAAAAAACTTAAGGGTATTTCAGTGTTCCTGTTAAAATGTTTTATGTAACGTATCCTCTCCAAATGCTTTAGTTTCAGGACTTAATACTTCAATTTCATTTCTATAGGATCTTAAGGATTACATGAGACAGGCAGGAGAGGTAACCTATGCTGATGCTCATAAGCAAAGAAAAAATGAAGGGTAATTTTTGTGTATCAAGTATTTTCATTAATAGTATTTTGCAGTACATCAGTTTAATGTTTTAATATGGAAATCTTAGGTTGAGAATGTCCTTTACATGCTATTTAAAAAGGAAGTTTTATTAGGTCTTACCAGGTTTTAAAAAAGATGCTGTTACTAATTTATTATAAGTTATAGTGAAACTTCTATATGTTATCAAGGACTGGTAGAAATTGCACTTTTAAGTTATTTTTTTCAGTTTAATCCTTTGAACAAAAACATTTTTAGCTGTTCTATATGAAACTGTTTCAGCGTTGTGGAGTTTGCAACATTTTCAGACATGAAAAATGCCTTAGAGAAGTTGGATAGTACAGAGTTAAATGGCAGAAAAATCAGATTGTCTGAAGACAGATCAAAGAAACGAAGGTAATATTGCATTAAACTTAATGTACATGACAATGTTTTTCATGGGCTGATTATTAATATTGTTGTATGATATGGCCTATCTAATTCAGCTTTTTGCAGTTCTTCAGAATTTGACATTTTCATATATACTTTTAACACTTAATACTGCTTGAAATTAAGTTTTAATCAATCAGATTGTTAATCCTTCCCTGCAACACAATTTCTGCCACCTGAAACTAAAACAGATTTGTAAATATTTATCAAGTTCATAAACAGTTTTTGGTGTATGAGGGTGAAAAGTTAATGAAGAATAAAAAGCTCAATTTTGATTGTCCAGAATGCTAATATTAAGTATTTTGTGGGACACGTTTTTATATTTTGTGATAATGCATTCAGTAAAATAAAACTAAATCCATAAGGCAAAATATTTGGCATTCATTTTTTTTCCTAGTGTAGAACTTGTTTTAGAATGTTAAAAAAAGTGACTTACATTTGTTTTTTATAGTTTTATGTACGATGATAGGTGTGAAGGCAACAGATAAAATGTATTTACTGATTTGCTTCTGAATGTGATAGTGAAATATTTTAAACTCCAAAGTTGTCTTTTTTGGAATAAGTTTTTTCCACAGTACTATCAAAGAAAGAGTGTAACCTATTTATTATTATTAAAAGTTGCATTTGTATGAAAATAAACAAAAATTTATGTTTTTAGATCCAGGACAAAGTCTCGTTCAAGAAGTCGAAGCAGAACACCATCCAAAAGTCGTAGCCGTAGTAAGTCTCGCTCTAAGTCCAGGTCTCGTTCTCGCTCAAAGTCTGCTTCACGAAGCTCTAAAAATTCTCGCAGTAGATCCAGGAGCAAATCCAAGTCAAACTCTCCTTCCCGGTCACCGAAAGAGAACTCACCTCCAGCAGAGGATACTGAAAGGGATTAAACTTACAATGTACATACCATACATGTGGATTGATATGAATAATTTGTACAGTCTTCTTTTTGTTTGTTTGTTGTACTTGTTGGTATTCATACAATCAAGATGAATTATGAAATATGAGCTTCTTATTCAGTATATCTTTCGCACGTGCTCATCACCAGCAGATTATTTTTCTTTCGGTTTAGTTGGAATAGTATCCATCTTGGTATTTTTGTTTGTGTGTCACTTGTCTGTTCTTTAAAAATTAAAACATATCTGTTACATTTCACTAGAGTATGAAAAGGTTCAGGCTTTACTTGTCCTGTAGCTAAAGTTAGTTAGCATTTCTAAAATCTAGGTAGTAGCTTCATTAAAGTGAAATTTCAGAGTCAAATTGTAATGTCAAATAAAGTTTACATCCTATTGTAAGCTGTGTGTGTGGTTCATACTGATAGTATGATGATTTTTCACCTACAACTGTTCAAGTAAAACATATCGGGCTTCTTTTTATCAGACAGCTACCTTCTTAATTAACATTAAAGAACATAGTCATATTCCATAAATTAAAAATATTTTATTTTTATATTAACTGTAACTTTAAGTATATTAAAAAAGTGTGCCAAATGTACAGTTTTGCAAGAATAATTGGTGCTACTCTACTCTATTCGTGTAGGTATGAAATGGAAGGAAAATTCTAAAACTAGCTATGGGTCTGGGACAACAGATCCTTAGCAGTCAAGAGGCAATGCTCCCAGGTTGTCCCAGCTGTCTATCGGAATTTATAAAAGTTGAACTGAGCCGAAATTGGAAAGAAAATCAGAAGAGTTCAACTGAGTTGTTAGAAGTTTGTGTTAATGAATTTAGCTGCGCTATTTTATGAAAGAGGGCACATAATAATAAATAATCATCAAACACCACTACTGACATTTTAGAGAGACTAAAAGAACTTTATTAGTCCATCAAGGATGTCTCTTCCAGCTCCCAACTATAACCACCCCTTACTACTCGTGTATTCATCCAATCATTTCTTGAATTCAGTTAAATTTTCTCCCCTCCACCACCCTTGAAAGCAGCTCATTCTAAGAGCCAACCACCCTATTTGAAGAGTAGTACTGTCTAAACTGCAGATGGCTCCTGCGCTTTCAAAATTTGAATTTATGCCGACCTCGACCTATTGTTTTCACTGCTAAATATGAACAAGTTTGGTGGGTCTATATTACCAACACTTCAATCAATCCCCTCTGACCCTTCTCCTCTCCAGAGAAAACAAGTTTAGTGATTTTAGTCTTTTCTCATAGGGCAATCCCAAGTATCATCGCAGTGGCTCTTCCCTAAACCTTCTCCAACAATTCAATGTCATGGTTGAAGAAGGGAACGAAAACTGCACACAGTACTCTAAATGAAGCCTTACAAATGATCTATACAGTGGAAATATAATATCCCTTGTCTTGTATTCAGTATTTATATAGATGCTACCCAAATTCCTATTGCTAATACAATACACTGTTTAGATGACTTAACATTTCCCCTACACCCACAGATTTAATTTTTGTAACAAGCCTTTTTTTTTTTTTTTGTGAGGCACCTTAGCAAACACTTTCTGAAAATCAAGGTAAACCAAATCCACAGTATTTCTTTCAACTTTTGCAGCAACATCCTCAAAGAATGTCAGAAGATTTGTTAAACAAGACTTTCTCTTAGTTTGATATAGCGTCTAAAAGCCAGGATGGTTTCACTGCTTTTAGTGATTGCAATGCATCTTTAATGACACTCCAAACCTTTCCAACTACTGATGTAAGACTAATCGGCCTATAATTGCTTGGACAATGTTTATCACCTATCTTCTAATACTTTTCCACTACTCAATGACCTATTAAAAATATTAGATAGAGGCTCACAAAAAATCTTTACCTGCTGACACACTCGAACGAATACAGCGCAATTTTCGCTGAAAGCATTAGACCTATCACGCGGATTTAATTTTAGCCACCAGCTTTGTGGACGTTAAGTCTGATGGCTTCAAAAACTAAAAAAAACGCGTTATGCACGTATTGGAGAATAAGAATTGGATAGGATAACTTTACTACATTCTGAAATGTACAAGTGGCGCCATAGGCAAATATTGTAATAATATTTGCGCTGATGAGGTCTAATACCAGTAATTATAGAATATTCCCGATCATTTTCTCCCGAGGGTAAAGTTTACAGTGATGTGTGTTTCAAAAGCGCTAAGCAGCGTGATTAAGATGATGGTCGCGGCAACAACAACTAAGAGAGAGCAACTGTTTGAGTAATTTGATGCTGCTAATTCTAAAAATCATGTTGAAAGTTACTGATCGCCTCTAGTTTTCGAATTATGATAGATTCATTCAGAATATTCTTATATGTATAGTGAAAATACTTTTTCGTTAATAACTTTATTCATTGAAAATTGCCTTTAGGAATATTCAAAAACAATACTTAAAGCAATATCAGTTTTTAAAAAAGCAGTGATTGTAATAAGACTATATATATTGAAAATACATTCAATCTATGTTCAGAACTTTCATCCTGGTATCTTTTGTTACAACATACACGTTTGCCTTGTTGCGCCTTTGGTGTGTTCTTTCAGTTTCAAGCTGAAAGAAACAACAGTAATCAATATAAGATTCCATTGTTCTTGATGTCGCTGTTCTATTGTAGAAATATGTCGGTGGAAACGCTTATCGCTCAATGCAACTAGGTCATTTGGAAAGAAGTGATTTTCTAGAGACAATTTTCCTGCAGTTCTCGAGCGTATCATCACGGCATAGTTATCATTTCTGTGATTTCATAAGAAATGTTTGACGACCAGTTTGAATGAGTTCCAGGTAGTATACTTCTTTCTAATTGAGTAATGTTTCAAAATCGTCATCCATCAGTACTTCTCGAATCTGTGACCCAACAAAGATACCTCCTTTCATTTTTGCTTCACTGATTTTTGGAAACTCATCAGACAGATATCTGAAACCATTACCAAAATTCTTCATGAGTCCCAGTTTAATATGAAGTGGGGGCTGAAACACATTTTGAGGATTTACTAAAGGAAGATACTCTTTATTCTGTTTCCCTGGTATGTAATTCTCCCTAGCGTTCCTTCTTTTTGTGAAGTGAATTTTATTACCTCGGCTGTTCAAGAGACACACAAAACAGGAGTGCAATAGCATTTATATCACCACATAAAGATTCACCTATGGTGATCATATTTCATGGACCAAAGTATAACTTGCATGCTTAGATAAGTTTCTTTCATGTTCACATCTTGAGCAACAGGAATCGATACATAGTGTTCCCATTGTACGAGAGTACATCTTTCATACGAACTTTGGATGAGTCGATAAAAAGTCTCCATTCTTGAGGATTATGTTCAGTACCTAATTCTTGCATGCTGTAGCGTGAAGCAAGACTTTTATGGCGATAAATTGAAACTTGTTCCTGGGGCTACTAAATTCTATTGCTGTAAACGATAGCCAAGAATTTCCATATATTACTTTGATAGAGACAGGTCACTGATCCGATCATTTAGCTCTTGTGTGATCAAATGAAGCAGTTTGTGTTGAGATGCTATATCAATATAATGACTGGATGAAGACGATTTATTGTCTTCTTCGCAACACAATTCTTGTTTCCCAATTTGCTAGTGGATGTGGCACTAAAAGGCCATCCCCGTGAGGTACAGGTTTCATTGCAGATGCAATATCTGGATATATTTGATATGCTGTTTAGTTTTGCCTGAATATGCAGAAACATTAGTCATGCAAACTGTATAACACACATGTGGAACCCAATGTTTTTCTTTGTCAACATTTTTACACCCAAAATAGTGGTAGTAAGCTACCTTGTTGGTAATGTTTTTTCCAAAAAATATAAATAATTATGTTTACAGAACTACAGATTAAAAAATGTTTTCCAGAATTTGATTATATAGTAAGTATGATGCGAGGAAGAAGATTGGGCTGTTTTAATTGTGCTTGGAACGAGGCGAAGTGACCAAATGAAAGAGAGGCGTTTAACTCCACCCCTTTTATGCTAAATCAAGGGACTTCTCGAATGTTGTAGCAAACTAAGCGCATGAGGGTTGTTTCGTGATTCCCGGGCGGAGCAGGTAGGAGTTGGAATGAAGCAAAAGTGGTACGTTTCGCTACAATTATATCTTGAACAAATAGCATACATGAAAAATACATTTGGAATTTTACATCAGTACAATACAGTCTATGTTTGAAGTTATCAAAAAAGTATGCTTTTTACCCATTGAACTGCTCAAATAAATTTAACTTCACAGCCTAAATCTGTGGTACTGAGATAGTTGCATGGTATTTCACATACTACTGATAAAATATTGTGATCTTATATATATTGCGAACCATGTTGTCTGCTCGACCATTGGTCTGCCTCCCCTTCAAAAGCTGCGCACGCAAGCAAAGCTTAACATTCACTTTTTAAAATAACGGGAGAACAGGCATGGATAATGTTGATGCCAAATTTTATTTTTCAAGCAGGATATTCTGCCCTAAATTGTTAGGAATTAATCACACTATAATTCACATTTCGAAATGTAACGTACTGTTGCGTCAGCGAGTCACATGACTGCTGTGGCGCCCTCTATTTTCTAGAACTATCTTGTTTCTTCATGAATGCTCTAGTGTTTGCTAGATGGGGTAGGCTGGTATATAAAAGAGGGGAAGGTAATGTGTGAGTAGACAGTGAGTAATTGATCTGCAGTCAGAAGTATTATTGAGCACGTTCGTTATTATAGCGTTTGATTAGCGAGATTGTTGAAGTTGAGTGTATCGGTAAAGTTATATTCGGAAAGAATAAACCAGTTTTATTAAGTAAAGAACTTGTGTCGCTAAAGTTTCGTCGGAACGAAGTTACGGAAAGTTAATTAACAAACGGAGACGTAACAGTACCTTAAAGTGTAAAACTGTAGATTTACTGTATGTTATTGTTGAGTGGCTCTTAGCATGACTGAAACGCTCAACAATGACTTCGCTGTGGGCGGTATAAGTAGCTTAGAGCTTTGGCACTGAGTGAAACCAAGAGTGCTTCACAATTAACATTTTTAAAATCCGTGAAATAATTTAAACTGATAGATTAACTTTCCCCGTCACTAGGACGGGTACATTTGCTTGTATTACAATAACTCAAAATACAGCGGTGCTGGACAAATTTGAAATCAGCACCATCAAATATCCTAAATCACTTGAGTTTTCTCCAGTAACAAATTTTTGTTGTCTAGTGTATTCAGTGGTATTTGCTATCAACAGTGACAACTGCTTTGAATGATCCTTTGAAAAATGTGCAAAACAGGAAGACCACTTCTACCAAGCCACAGTTTAGTGTAATCCTAGCCCCTAAGTTCTGTGGTTTTATATGTTAATTTTATTTGCCTATGGTAAGAATAGTAGGCT